GGGGGGGGCGAAGGGAGATTCCCTCAGTAAAGGTTTAACAGAAGGACAGGACGAGTAGCGAGACGCCGCCGAGGCCCTGGCCCCTTTGCAGACGCACTGTGAGCTCCTTATTTCAAGGACCGGATTCACGAAGCAATATTGAAAACAGTCTTTAGGTCGAGATATTCACTTTTGGATGGGCGCCAGTGCCAGTGCAGGCCGGCAAGAGTGGGATGGGGCCTCAGGCAGGAATCCTACGACTGGGAGGAAGAGGAGGAGGGAGGGGGAGGGGGAGTCTAGTGAAATGGAAACAAACCCGACAGTTACTTATTTACACCCACCCACTCTGACCCAAAACGGAGCACCTGTTCTGCGTTCGACATATGGCGTCCCTGCCTGCGCTGCGCGAGCCGAGCCCCAGTCCCATCCACGGCTTCCTGGGCCGACGAGGACGCGGGGCAGGAGGGGGTGGGAGGGGGCGAGAGGCGAGCGAGAAGCGTCTCGACGCATAGCAGCCCTGCGCGCTCGCGCCGCCGCCGCCGCCCTCCTGGCCGTGCCCTGGCCAGCTGCCCAGCCGCGATCCGAAAGGGAGAGAAAGCGTTGCGTTGGGCCGGGTCAGTGGCCGGCGGGGTGCAAGGCAAGCTCTGTTTGAGTCGGGTCGCAGACACCCTGTCAACGCCATGGCCAGGTAGGACGTCGCATCTTTAAATAAAAAAGGGGCGTAGACGAAATACTGACTTCAAGAATTCTAAAGGACTTTGGGACGTTTACCGTTGTTCTATTAATTATTCCATGGGCACAACTTTAAGAAGCATTTAAAAGTTGCGACGTACTCCCTGTGTTTTACCCAGTCAATATAGATTGAACTCTGAGAAAAGATGTTTCGAGTAAAACATGATGAAACACACAAACAGTTCTAGAAAAGTCAAGGCAGTGCATCAATTAAGGGAAGACACGCACCTTCCTTGATCCAACCGCTTGAAGAAAATAATAGACGGACAAGCTACGTATCTACACATGTAGAAAGGAGTCTATTAAAAAGCAGGACACTGGAGAGGGGTAAATCAAGGTCTTTGCATCAACAGAAAAAATCGAACAGAAAAAAGGAGGTTCCTCTATACACTGACTAAACTAACAGTGAAGACTATGGACATCTAGAGGTCAAATTTTGCAAGAAAAAACTATCATCACACCACAAATTCAAAAAAATTGATTAAAATGGATGAAGGTAAGCCTTTACTGGTAAAAAGACAAATCCACAATTGTCGATGAAGAACAGCATTGTGGTGAAAAAGATAGATTTTTCATACAAAATACAACCAGAGATTTAACTGAATCCCACCTCATCACATTGTTCAGAGTCAGCAGACATGGTCTGAGTCTTGATGATACTGTAGAGCTTAGCGTAAGGAGCCTTCACCATCTTTTTTTTAAGGCCCCAAAGTTAAGCAATGAATAAGTGGACAAAAAAATGGACAAGACAAAAATATATTAGAGCTTCTCCTAATCACATCTAAGATAGATCAGACCATAATTTTTTAAGTTGAATCTCTTCTGATTCAACCAATTGACAAAAGAAGCCTAAACAGAATGCAGTTGAATAACTTATTGAGTGCACTGGCACTGGGAATATGCATCAGGAATCAGGAGTGAAATTTTTTTGGATGATCATGACATAAATAGCATTTAGAGCTTTGTTATTGTTAAGGACAGAAAGAGGAGCTTTTCTTCAAGAGGAGCTCACAAAAGAGGAGTACAGGGTACTGCATTGCTGTTCAGAGGCATCACCATAACAAAAATGACACCCAGACCAAAACGCAACATGTGGTTTGACTTACCTCCCAGGATTCTCTTGTCATCTCCGCCAACTCCCCTTCATCACTACCACGGCGACCGCCTTCTCCTTGGCTCTCGCTGCCCGGTTCTTCATCCCACAACTCTGTGTCAGATTCGACAAGTTCATATCCTCTTGCCTTGTAGTCCATATCTTCAAGGTCACCATACAGGTGAGGGATCCATAAGTGCAGGAACTTGTATAAATCATCCACTCTGGAACGTACATAAAGAGACTTCAATGTAGAAACTAAGGTCCAAGGTGTTTAAGACCGAGAAACAATACAGAATGTTTTGTATTTGTATCTGAGGTAAGAGATCTCACCTGTTCCGAGGAATTCCAAACCAGTACTCTGGTCTCATTTTTTTCTTCCCATAAGACATTATTGGTGTAGACTTGGGAATTTTCCTATTGACTGGTTTACCCATTCGCAGCCTGAGGTAAAGGGGAGGGTCTTCACACGAGCGTGCTGGCTGAGGTATTAATTCTACAATAGGAAGAAAATCAAATCATAGAGTTAGATACTATGCTGAAACTTTACAGGAAGATAAATTTATTTATCAACCTAGGTTCACTTCTACAAACGCACAAAAAAGGTTGGAAATTCAATTGTGGGTTGGAAGAAGTTTAGAAACCTGGTTGAATATTACTAATTACTGTATTAAATTCCTTCTTTAAAAAAAAGCATGACAACACAGAAAATGCATGCACAGATACACAGTTAACAATTGGAAAACATAAAGAAGCATACCTAATTAAGTTTTACAATATGGAAGATTAACCATTACAAGACCTGACGTAAATTAGAAACAGATGACATTTTTTGTCAGATACAGTAATGTGCTAAATACGATATCAACAAGCAAAACACACAATGGACTAAATGCACCTACACCACTGACTAAGCAGAACCTGGCAAGTTAATCCATGCCAAATAATTCTCCAAGTTACATGAAGAGACCTTGAGAGTAGAGGGTGAAGTAAAAAGAGGACAGAAAAGAAGAAAATAACAGACAAAATATCTTAGAGTACAAATACTTGAGATTCAAGCCATTCAAGATAGAATATGAATTTCAAATTCAAAAGATGCAAGCTTTAAATTTGAATCTTTGGAAAAGTCTACAAACAGATACGATCTGCTTCACACAAAGCAAAACAACAAAAATGGGAGAGAAATGGGTTTACTCTTTTAAACATACCAAGTCCATCAAGTAGAGGAAAATTAGGAGCATGAGCATGGACTACATAGCAGGAGAAAGAAAACAAGGAAAAGGACGCATGAGATTAAAATATTACTTCAGGGAGGTTAAAAATCACAGAATAATGTACATAAAATAGTTCCTCATCTCAAGTAACATCTGCTTGGATGACAAATCCTATGATATTGTCTTCCCCTTTCTGTCTAAGTTGTTAGCAGTATTGTATAATGGAGCAAATTTGGCTGGTACCCAGCCTAATCTGAAAAGCACAGCTACATCTAATGTATATTCCCTCAAAGCTTTATAATACACTAAGGGAAGCTAAAATGTAGGTTGCTTTAAACTTAATGGTATTTTCAACTTCCACAGATTCTATTGAGATAGCAAGAAAAAATGTTAGGATTCTAGGAATTCTAGGAAGAAAAGTAAGGATGTCATAAGCGATAGTTGGTTCTTCGAAACCAGTTTGAGAATCTGATCTGATCATTAGTAAAACAAAACATCAGGTTACGATTGTAAATGGGTTTTGAAAATATAGCAGAACTGCACAATCTTTCCTCTAAAACACTGATACTAAAAATTACACATTATCTAAAATCCCACTATACATATTGCTACACTAAACATTTAGTGGTTCATTCTTAAATTGCGGTGCAATAAAGCACAAGAGAGGAAGCACATTTCTACATGGCAGTTTATAATAAATTATAGAACCATGTAAGTTATGCACTGTTTTCCTTCCACAAAATGTTCTTTACAGTTAGATTTCTGTTAATATGGTAGAATAGCCAATCCAATCACCAATGTTATGTTAAGGGTTTCAGAGCATCAGACAATTACCAAACAATTTTAGTGATGTTAAGAGGGTAAGAATGTCCTTAATAGCTGTTTTTTTTTTACTTACGGTCTATTGAGCGGAAGAGATCTGGCATTTCATCTACATCAACCATACTCCTGATATCAAATTTCGGTCCAGGTGGTCTGCGCTCTTTTGGCTCCTTTGTTTCAGTCTGTTGTCTTCCAATGAAAGTCCCCACAGATGATCGCCTGATGTTGAAAAAGATACTCATTATTACAACTGTCTTTAAACAGGAATGTATTAACTCAATGTACAGTAACAGTAGGCTATTCAGTATAATCCTATGATTTGGATTTTTAAAACTTAACATCAATTAGAAAGAAAAAGAAATCTTTCTCAAAATTAAGACTTTCAAAATGAAATTTAAATATATCATACATGTATCATGCTGTTGCAAGTTAAAGACAGAAATCCCATGCTCAGATATAAACTGCCAAATGAAAAAAATTTTCATTTGAGCTGTCATCCAGTCATTAGGAAAACAAAACACAAAAGAACAACACTAGTTCTACATTAGTTTAAAGACAAGAGGATATGCATTGATATACTAACGCTAACACAATAATTCAAAGCAGTGAGAAAGGAAGTATTGACAGAGAAGTATTAGGCATAAAAACTAATATCATGCAGAATGTAAAGAGAACATGCTTAAGGTTTCACCGAGCACCAATCAACAGTTTTAAATAGCATCCAAACAAGCAAATGAGCAATTAACTTTAGCTCAAATACACAAGTCATAAAGTTCACAGGATGAATCCAAGACTTTCCAGCTAATTTAAGATAGTATCATTTACAATTTTCCTTAAAATTTACTGACCCCAAGGAGCAATAACATAGGAACATTGTTTGGTGCTGATGCATAGAGTGTGTGCTGTACTAAAAGGAGAAAGTCATATTCCGACACCTACAATGTGCTGAACCTAAGTGAGATAATATCAAAGGCATCAAACTAGGTGAATGGGATGGTGGGGTATAGAGAGGGAGTGGATACAACATCGATAAAACAAGATTATTATCTTAAGAACGGCATATTCCCACACTTACCCGACGTTACTAACGCTACTGATTATTGATGTGGCTGTATTACCAACCACAGAAAATCCTGTTTCAATGCCCTCCTTTAGAACTTCTCTTATCTCAGGGCTCGGGGGTGCGTCCGCGGGCCCCGGAGTTAGAGGGGGCCCCGGAGAGGCGCCCCGAGTGCCACCTGAGCCCCCACTCTCTTCACTAGGAGTTTTCATCAAGAAGAGTCCCGATCCAAAGTCCGACACCAGATTGATAGGCGAACTGTCAGTTAAAAATTTGGATGCATTTCAAAGACATTGGAGGAGAGTCTAGAGTCACGAGGAAGAGCCACTTGAGTGAAACTGAGATACAAGGGGACTTTTTCATGTGACAGCAGAACCTCTAAAAGTCATCAGCAAACAGATCTGTATTATGAGGGCAGCAAGAAAGCAGCTGAGCTTTTACTTTGCATTTACATCTTGCTTGGAATATACTTTCCATGGCAATTACTTCCCATTTTTCCAATAAACATGGAATTTATAATTTTAAAAAAGGATTTTTCCAACTACAAATTAAAAATCAATGACAGCTGATTTGTTTGCACATTGTATGCTTCTGTGCCTTTCTCACTGCACATGCATATGACTGTAACTTTACCCTAATGCGCAATGAAATGAGATCACTTACAGCATTCTAAAGGCCTCATCAATTCTCTCTCAGAGCTTACATTTACATTCCTAGTACAAAACTCGATTAGCCATGAAGAGCCAGACTCTTTACTGCAGAGATAAAACTAGTTAGTACTAACTAAACTATAGCCTTTTATCTCTTGATTTCTACAGATTTCATGTTTACTTCTGAATTACTTGATTCACTTACGTGGCATTTTGTATATCTTTAGACATTGACCTAAGAAAAAGTTGACAATATGAAAAATAAGGAAATGTAAGAGTAAACAGAAATGATAAGACAGAATATGGCAAATTTTGCAAAATGAAAGAAATGACATAATCTAGATGAGGCCATCTGACATATGCCACTGACATTAAAAATAAATAAAGAGCTAATCAATTTCTTTAAGTCCAGCTGAATTTCCTTGACTACCAGTACCCGAATTTCTTAATAAATGTTGTTTGTGAATTGAGTGACAAGATAGATAAAAAGTTTGATTTGTCTCTAACAACTTTCAGTGAAATCAG